GCATCTAATTCTATATCGAAATCGTAGTACCCATGTCTTTAATGTCTTAGTCTTGTATCTAACAATATTTATTTAATCCGATTCGTTGCATCTGCTCAAATCCAAGAACTTGAAAATTCCAATGAAAAACGCATGAATCAAAGTCTCGTTACTGTTTAGGGCGTGCTGATGTTTGGGCCCCCCGGGACTGGAAAGACCCTCCTCGCCAAGGCCGTCGCCACGGAGGCCCACACCTCCTTCTTCCACGTTTCCTCCGCCACCCTGGCCTCCAAGTACCGCGGGGAGTCCGAGCGCATGGTGCGCTGCCTCTTCGATATGGCGCGCGCCTACGCTCCCAGCATCATCTTCATCGACGAGATCGACGCGCTGTGCACCACCAGGGGCGCCACTGGGGAGCACGAGGCCAGCCGGCGGGTCAAGTCGGAGCTGCTCATGCAGGTGTGGTCGTTTCTCCATTTCAGAATGTATAAGATCTTCATTTCAGAACAAAACGTTGCAGAATTTAACATATAACACGGTACATCGCATTAGGAGATCAGGTGTGAGTAGATGTTCTAGGGCTAATGTTGTGTTTGTGGGCAACATTGACCATGTCGCACTGGGAGCCATGCCAGTCTGCTCATACTTCTGTGGGAAAGCTCAAGGATACCGCTGCTGTCGGCGGTGGCTGCTGGGTGCAGATGTGGATTGCCGACACCGCGAACTGCAGCAGCGCAGGTGTTGGCTGAAGTGGCGACATCGGCTGATGCGTTGTTCTGTGTGTGTGTGTGTGTGTGTGTGTGTGTGCAGGTCGACGGCTGCTTTGGCCACGACGTGGAGCCCGGGCAGCACGTGATGGTCCTCGCGGCGACCAACTTGGGACATCAGCAAGGCGCTGCAGCAGCATCGGCGGCCTGGCCCCGCCGGAACTGGAAGCTCGAAAGAACTCATGCGCGCAAGCTTCAAGGTAGGATCCGCCTTATTCCCATGTTGTTACTGTCGGTCGCTGATGAAACGTAAGCGCCAAGAATGCAGTTGCTTGTGCACCACGTTACACTAGTGAGTAGATCGTGTGCTGCAGGTATAGCGCGGCTTCCGCTGTGTTGCGAACCTGCTTACGATGCAACCTGAATGTGGATTGGACGCTGCGATTTTCGGCAATCGACTAATCTATTAATGCTTGCATTTACATTGCGTATTTCTTTTCATTGCTTTTCTTGTTTTTCCTTCGGTATTTTCATTTTGTGTGCCACCATATTGACGAGTTGATCAGATAATATACAATCAAACGCAAACGATGCTGCGCATGCAGCCGTGACGAAAAGTATGTTCGCTGACGCTGCTCAGGACGTCGAGGTGGCTGCGGACGTCGAGTGGGAGGAGCTCGCGCGCCAGATGGAGAGCTACAGTGGCGACGACATCACCAACGTCTGCCGTGACGCCGCATTCAACGGCATGCGCAGGCGGACCGCCGGCAAGACCCTGGAGCAGATCCGCAACATGAGGGCCGCGGCCGTGCAGACGCCCGTGCTCATGGACGACCTGGTGCAGGCGCTGGCCAGGATCTCCCCCAGCGTCTCCAAAGCCGACATCGCAAAGCACGAGGCGTGGAAGAGCGAGTTTGGGAGCGTCTGATTCTGCCGCGCAACTGCCAGGCTATGCGTCCTTGCCGCGCTCTGAGATCCCAACTTCATGGGTTTCTGTCATAAGGGTTGGGGCGCATGGGAGGCCGGGGTGGAAGGAGGTGGGTGGGTTTTCCCCAGGGCGTTCCTCCATCACCTGCTCAACCCCCTTCCGGTCGGGCGGCGCGTTCATGGGCAGTCATCCTTGTCGAGTGCTCGTTACCCTGTTTACCCGGCCGGATGCCCCACGGTGGGCGCTCGGGCAGCCAGAAACCCCTCCCTCAAACGCCATCCATTTTGAACCCACGCTGAAGCACTGACCTTAGCCAGGGGCCCCGGAACCGAATGGAAATCCGGAAAGGTTGTAGCTCAAATTCGCTATTACGGACTGAACGGGCAGTTTGGCTGAACATTCCACCACGACCTGTGAGCGAGGGTTACCTGCGTTGGTGCCGTTAAGAGAAGCCATGCTCTGGCCTGGGCATCTGCGAAGCGACCGGACCCGGATTTGACCTGCCATGTGGGATATTCGCGGGATCGAGTTCCCCTTGATCGTACTTGCCCGCACGTTGGCAGATTGAGGTCTTGAGCCTTCAAGGTTGAGAGGGACCGGCACGCTCAGGGCAGAGCTAATTCCGCTCAATGCTGATGGCGTCTGTTGCAAAGGCATACTGGAGACTTGGCGCATTCGCAACTTGTGGTGGTTGGGAAGGAGAGGGCAATGGTGGCTGAATGATGCTGAATGGTCAGCATGCATGATGATGGGAGCGGCTGGAGGGGGGATTTTAGGTTGGGAACTGGCACGCGGCTGTGGTGCAAATGCAAATAGGCAGGGACCCAATGAACTGATGTGATAGTCTACCGAAAAGTTGAAAACTGACAAACATACAATAGTTGCGGGCAGCAGTGGATTAGTGTAGCTTTCTTGTCCCCATCAATTTGCTTAAATAAAAGGTGGTTGATTTGCGATCGCTGCCACGTTCTGTGTGGCTCGTCCTCATGTTACGTCCGATTCAGAAGAGATATCAGCGGGCCTGCCGCCTAGGCAGGCGGATGGTCAATAGAGTGCCAGGCACATTGGCGTAAATTCAGGGCTGAATCCACGCGTCCCAAAACAATTTGAAGTTTTAGATCATTTGCTCGATGCAGATATGGTCTACACCAACAGCAATGTGATTTTGGTCCAGGCAGCAAAGCTCGTACATAATTCATAGTGTTAGGATATGAGCCCAAAGTTTAAACAACGCCGAACAGAAAAGCCTCTTGCCACCGTCGAAATTGCGCACCCCTCTGATCCCTCTGAGCATGCACCCATTTGCGAAGCCTCATAAATGCTCTCAACGTCACCGCTGGATCCCTCCAAGAACCCCCCCCCGCCTCCATTCATAGCACGCAACCTCCGCGTGTACTGCTGGCGCTTTATGGGTGACCATCTCTGGAAAACTGGCACAAGCACGGGAAAAGCAACCCTGACAAGGGCGTCCGCAACAGACACGGTTAGTGGCACCATCGCTCCCGCACTTGCCCAGCCGTAGACTCCTCTGACCTCAAGAATGAGCCAAATTCAAAGCGCAATCTGCGGAACATCTTCGAACACTGGTGACCAAAATGCCACCCCGGCAAAAAATGCGTGACGGAAGCCATCCTTGGAACATTTGTTGCCAGGGCCGAGCGGCTCTTCCCCCCCAAGGGGCAGGTGTTTGACGACCTCCGTACGACAAAGCACCAGCCCAGAGTAAACCAGCATCCAGCCGTGCATTTTAGACATTTGGCCCCCCATTTCTAAGTGTTGCAGGAGTGAGCAGGGTGATCGTTATCCATCAGGATCCTCCGGCAGCTCGATTCTCCCCCTAATTTCGCTCTTCGAAGTCTCCACCATGTCCCAATCATCACCCACATTTGCGACAAGATGTTCATTGCCAGAAGAACACCGATGCGCGCTGCTGCACCTGCTTGTTCTGCAGGTATGTTACTTTCGTATATCGTCTCGACCACCAAGAAGACTGCAGCTGTGAACCCAATATCTGAAAGCACGTCCGCCACCGCCAGGATGCGGACAGCAAACACATCCCTGGCCTCTTGCACTGTGAAGACTTTCCCGGTTGGTGATTAGAACTCTGACAGCAACTAAGGAAGAATAAACATGGAAGTAAGATAGTGAGGCCAGCTATCCCGAAGACAACTATCAAAGGGACTTCCTTGTTGACAGTGCATCTAAGTCTCTCTTGCATGGCCCCATTCTTGACGTTCGTTGGAACGTCATTCTTCCGAGTGGAGCACCCTGGATCTTTGTCCGGAAGCCCTTCTGTGGATGCGCATGCTGTTAGATTTCCGTTGGAGCGAAATTTCGCTGCTCACTGAATCGTTGCAAGCTTGGCCAGCACCAGTCGCTGCAGGACAGCGTTGTCAGGAATTCGCTAATCGCCACCAACTTCCAGAAGGCTACTGAATCCATCAATTAACACCAAGGCCTGAACGCCAGCTATTTCCCACGTTGTTCAGTTCTCAGATTGCATGGTGGGCATGTGGTGCTCTGCAGAGCATCCCACTCCCCACCAATGCTGCCGCAGGCAGGGCCCGAAAGCCAGGCTCCTCAGCGCAGAGGGCCGTACAACCAAAGGTGGGGATTTTCAGTTGACATGGCAGTCTTTGCACTTTGTGGCATGGCAGTGTTACAGACGGCAAGCCCTGAGCTTTCCTTACAGTTGGTCAGATTTTCCTTTCTTGGAACAGCGATGGGGATGGATGGTGGTGAAGGTCTCCATCTCAGTATTTGTTCCAGTTGTTGGGAGCTTGGCAATTTTGGTGAGACAGGGGCCATCTTGTCGTTCCTGGAGAGATTGTTGGATTTCGGTTCTGCAGTTCCCATTCCTTGTGAATGTGGTGCATGCACCTGGCACCGGTGCAATGTTCTCCCATGTTGTTGCCCTTGTGGTCACCACCGCACAGCACAACGAAGCTGTTCACTTGGGTCAATTGAAGGACAAGCGATTGTGCAGGAGGAAATCAAAAGATGATGAGGCCTCAATTGAAATTGCCGTGGAGCATCAATAGCTGACAATTGTGAATGTGATGACACGTCGACTTGACCTTGCATATGCAGGTGGACACAAGACGCAGTAGAGAAGGTCGAAGGGATGGAGCCGGCCAGGTGATTCTTTTATTGTATTTGCTTTGAAATGGCAGAACGCCACCCCTGCGCCTGTCATGTGTTGTCAGGAATTAGTCCGCATGAAGGTTTTCTCTGTCGTTTGCTCCTGTGTTGCCATCCCTGCCATCCGCCTGCCACCTCTGCGACAATAAATTTAAAACAGTCAAATAATCCTCGTTTATCCCAATCCCACTGCCCAGTGGTTTTTGGTAGGCAACTCATCCACTCATTCTGCTGGCTCATATTTGATGCAGGAATATAGTGGCCCCGATGAGGATCTTGTGGCCCTCTTGAAGCGGGATATTTTGGACACAAGTCCTGGAGTCACGTAAGCGCACCGGCACAAGGTTTCCATTGCTGCAGAATTGTTTCAATTTGACGTTTTCTCCTGAAAGAAGTAAATGGTAGGGTTTATGAAGAACCGGAGGAAGGTTTTGTAACATCGTTGGCATTCGAAGCCGATTTTGATTTTGGCGACTTCTGTGCGTTTTTTCTTCGGGTTTCTTTCCTTTTTTTGTTTCATCAGTTTGTGTCCCCGCAAGCCGTTGCGCCCGAGTGCAAGCCCTTACTTTTCCAAGCGTTGCACACCATCTATCATTGTAAGTCCGAACTTCTTTTTGATGGGCATTTATATGAAATACGATATGATGAGTACCCATCGCAGAGTCTTTGGCGCGCGTGCCTCTCGAGCACCACCTTGGCACAGCAGCAACGAAAAGAAATACTTTGAACTGTCGCCCAAATTGGTAGCAGGCCCATGTCGTGCTTTGTCCTGTGTTTTGGACCAGAATTGGGCAATGCGTCGAACGCCTTGTCAGCACCCTGGACTGCGGACTGCGTGTCAACCATTCTTAAGATGCATTTCATGCAAATTCAGCATACGAATTCGGAGCAACTGCACTTGTGATAACTGCGTTCCAGATGTGCTTTAGATGGCTCTTAAGCACAACTCGCCCTGTGCTCAGTGCTGTATTTGCCGCGTAGGTGGGGAGAAATCGCCGGTCTCCATGAAGCCAAGCGGGTGCTGGAAGAGGCGACAGTGCTGCCACTCATCATGCCCGACTTCTTCAGAGGGATCAGGCGTCCCGTCAGGGTAGGTTGAAGCTGTTCCAGCGCAGCAGATCAACATGGCGAGTAAGCCCTAGATCGGGGGCTATCTAGATGTCTAAGGAGTTGTCTAAAAGTCTAAGTTGCCTTCTAAAATGTTTGTCTAAAGCGGTCTGTCCGGACAATTTTTTGTGTGAGCAGCGGCTTTGATTCATGGTTTTCCTACGACAATGGCTTCAATTCAATTTGGGGATGAGATAGCAGAACATATACGATGGAATTTCAGGCTTGGAGAATCAGCCCAGTTTCCGTGTGTTGTCCCGGGTGTGCTCGCGTTGGCCGCCCTGGACATCGGCGTGACGCTGGCCATGAAGTCCACTGTCGCCAAGCCCTGACCCTGTTTCCGCATTTTGTCGACAACCTTTGCCTCAAAGTACAAGGTCCTGTAAGGAACTTTTATCTTGCACCTAATTCTATATCGAAATCGTAGTACCTATGTCTCTAATGTCTTAGTCTTGTATCTAACATTATTTATTTAATCCGATTCATTGCATCTGCTCAAATCCAAGAACTTGAAAATTCCAATGAAAAACGCATGAACCAAAGTCTCGTTACTGTTTAGGGCGTGCTGATGTTTGGGCCCCCGGGGACTGGAAAGACCCTCCTCGCCAAGGCCGTCGCCACGGAGGCCCACACCTCCTTCTTCCACGTTTCCTCCGCCACCCTGGCCTCCAAGTACCGCGGGGAGTCCGAGCGCATGGTGCGCTGCCTCTTCGATATGGCGCGCGCCTACGCTCCCAGCATCATCTTCATCGACGAGATCGACGCGCTGTGCACCACCAGGGGCGCCACGGGGGAGCACGAGGCCAGCCGGCGGGTCAAGTCGGAGCTGCTCATGCAGGTGTGGTCGTGCCTCCATTTCAGAAGTATAAGATCTTCATTTCAGAGTACAAACATTGCACAATGTAACATATAACACGGTACATCGCATTAGGGGATCAGATGTGAGCAGATATTCTAGGGCTAATGTTGTGTTTGTGGATAACATTGACCGTGTCGCGTTGGGAGCCATGCCAGTCTGTTGATACTTCTGTGGGAAAGCTGAAGGATACTGCTGCTGTCGGTGGTGCTTGCTGGGTGCACGTGTGAATCGCCAACGCCGCAAACTGCAGCAGCGGAGGTGTTGGCTGAAGTGGCGACATCGGCTGATGCATTGTTCTGTATGTATTCAGATCGACGGCTGCTTTGGTCACGATGTGGAGCCCGGGCAGCACGTGATGGTCCTTGCGGCGACGAACTTTCCTTGGGACATCGACGAGGCGCTGCGGCGTCGGCTGGAGAAGCGCATTTACATCCCGCTTCCGGAACTGGAAGCTCGAAAGGAGCTCATGCGCATAAACTTCAAGGTGGGGATCCGCCCCTGTTCCCATGTTGTTGCCTGTCAGTCGCTGATGAAACGTGGCGCCAAGAATACGGTTGGCATTGCACTACGTTACACTAATTTAATTGAATCGTGTGCTGCGGGTATGACGCGACTTCGCTGTGTTGCAGACCTGCTTACATTCTGTGCAATTCTGTGGATTGGACCGCACACGCGATTTTCAGCAATCGACTAACCAATTAATGCTTGCATTTACATTTGTATTTTCATTTTCATTCCTTTTCTTATTCTTCGTTCCATATTTTCATTTTGTGCGTCATCTGATTGACGAGTTGATCAGATTATCTACAATCAAATGCAAACGATCCTGCGCGTGCAGCTGCGAACGGAAAAAAAAAAAAGCAAAAAAAAAACTCTTCGCTGACGCTGCTCAGGAAGTCGAGGTGGCTGCGGACGTCGAGTGGGAGGAGCTCGCGCGCCAAATGGAGAGCTACAGTGGCGACGACATCACCAACGTCTGCCGCGACGCCGCGTTCAACGGCATGCGCAGGCGGACCGCCGGCAAGACCCTGGAGCAGATCCGCAACATGAGGGCCGCGGCCGTGCAGACGCCCGTGCTCATGGACGACCTGGTGCAGGCGCTGGCCAGGATCTCCCCCAGCGTATCCAAAGCCGACATCGCAAAGCACGAGGCGTGGAAGAGCGAGTTTGGGAGCGTCTGATTCTGCCGCGCAGCTGCCAGGCTATGCGTCCTTTCCGCGCTCTGATATCTAACCTAATGGGCTTCTGTCATTAGGTTTGGGGCGCATGGGAGGCCAGGGTGGAAGGAGGTGGGTGGGTTTTCCCGAGGGCGTTCCTCCATCACCTGCTCAACCCCCTTCCCGTCGGGCGGCGCGTTCATGGGCAGTCATCCTTGTCGGCTGCTCGTTACCCTGTTTACCCGGCCGGATGCCCTACGGTGGGCAGAAGCCCCTCCCTCAAATACCATCCATTTTGAACCCACGCTGAAGCACTGACCTTAGCCAGGGGCCCCGGAACCGAATATAAATCCGGAAAGGTTGTAGCTCAAATTCGCTATTACGGACTGAACGGGCAGTTTGGCTGAACATTCCACCACGACCTGTGAGCGAGGGTTACCTGCGTTGGTGCCGTTAAGAGAAGCCATGCTCTGGCCTGGGCATCTGCGAAGCGACCGGACCCGGATTTGACCTGCCATGTGGGATATTCGCGGGATCGAGTTCCCCTTGATCGTACTTGCCCGCACGTTGGCGGATTGAGGTCTTGAGCCTTCAAGGTTGAGAGGGACCGGCACGCTCAGGGCAGAGCTAATTCCGCTCAATGCTGATGGCGTCTGTTGCAAAGGCATACTGGAGACTTGGCGCATTCGCAACTTGTGGTGGTTGGGAAGGAGAGGGCAATGGTGGCTGAATGATGCTGAATGGTCAGCATGCATGATGATGGGAGCGGCTGGAGGGGGGATTTTAGGTTGGGAACTGGCACGCGGCTGTGGTGCAAATGCAAATAGGCAGGGACCCAATGAACTGATGTGATAGTCTACCGAAAAGTTGAAAACTGACAAACATACAATAGTTGCGGGCAGCAGTGGATTAGTGTAGCTTTCTTGTCCCCATCAATTTGCTTAAATAAAAGGTGGTTGATTTGCGATCGCTGCCACGTTCTGTGTGGCTCGTCCTCATGTTACGTCCGATTCAGAAGAGATATCAGCGGGCCTGCCGCCTAGGCAGGCGGATGGTCAATAGAGTGCCAGGCACATTGGCGTAAATTCAGGGCTGAATCCACGCGTCCCAAAACAATTTGAAGTTTTAGATCATTTGCTCGATGCAGATATGGTCTACACCAACAGCAATGTGATTTTGGTCCAGGCAGCAAAGCTCGTACATAATTCATAGTGTTAGGATATGAGCCCAAAGTTTAAACAACGCCGAACAGAAAAGCCTCTTGCCACCGTCGAAATTGCGCACCCCTCTGATCCCTCTGAGCATGCACCCATTTGCGAAGCCTCATAAATGCTCTCAACGTCACCGCTGGATCCCTCCAAGAACCCCCCCCCCGCCTCCATTCATAGCACGCAACCTCCGCGTGTACTGCTGGCGCTTTATGGGTGACCATCTCTGGAAAACTGGCACAAGCACGGGAAAAGCAACCCTGACAAGGGCGTCCGCAACAGACACGGTTAGTGGCACCATCGCTCCCGCACTTGCCCAGCCGTAGACTCCTCTGACCTCAAGAATGAGCCAAATTCAAAGCGCAATCTGCGGAACATCTTCGAACACTGGTGACCAAAATGCCACCCCGGCAAAAAATGCGTGACGGAAGCCATCCTTGGAACATTTGTTGCCAGGGCCGAGCGGCTCTTCCCCCCCAAGGGGCAGGTGTTTGACGACCTCCGTACGACAAAGCACCAGCCCAGAGTAAACCAGCATCCAGCCGTGCATTTTAGACATTTGGCCCCCCATTTCTAAGTGTTGCAGGAGTGAGCAGGGTGATCGTTATCCATCAGGATCCTCCGGCAGCTCGATTCTCCCCCTAATTTCGCTCTTCGAAGTCTCCACCATGTCCCAATCATCACCCACATTTGCGACAAGATGTTCATTGCCAGAAGAACACCGATGCGCGCTGCTGCACCTGCTTGTTCTGCAGGTATGTTACTTTCGTATATCGTCTCGACCACCAAGAAGACTGCAGCTGTGAACCCAATATCTGAAAGCACGTCCGCCACCGCCAGGATGCGGACAGCAAACACATCCCTGGCCTCTTGCACTGTGAAGACTTTCCCGGTTGGTGATTAGAACTCTGACAGCAACTAAGGAAGAATAAACATGGAAGTAAGATAGTGAGGCCAGCTATCCCGAAGACAACTATCAAAGGGACTTCCTTGTTGACAGTGCATCTAAGTCTCTCTTGCATGGCCCCATTCTTGACGTTCGTTGGAACGTCATTCTTCCGAGTGGAGCACCCTGGATCTTTGTCCGGAAGCCCTTCTGTGGATGCGCATGCTGTTAGATTTCCGTTGGAGCGAAATTTCGCTGCTCACTGAATCGTTGCAAGCTTGGCCAGCACCAGTCGCTGCAGGACAGCGTTGTCAGGAATTCGCTAATCGCCACCAACTTCCAGAAGGCTACTGAATCCATCAATTAACACCAAGGCCTGAACGCCAGCTATTTCCCACGTTGTTCAGTTCTCAGATTGCATGGTGGGCATGTGGTGCTCTGCAGAGCATCCCACTCCCCACCAATGCTGCCGCAGGCAGGGCCCGAAAGCCAGGCTCCTCAGCGCAGAGGGCCGTACAACCAAAGGTGGGGATTTTCAGTTGACATGGCAGTCTTTGCACTTTGTGGCATGGCAGTGTTACAGACGGCAAGCCCTGAGCTTTCCTTACAGTTGGTCAGATTTTCCTTTCTTGGAACAGCGATGGGGATGGATGGTGGTGAAGGTCTCCATCTCAGTATTTGTTCCAGTTGTTGGGAGCTTGGCAATTTTGGTGAGACAGGGGCCATCTTGTCGTTCCTGGAGAGATTGTTGGATTTCGGTTCTGCAGTTCCCATTCCTTGTGAATGTGGTGCATGCACCTGGCACCGGTGCAATGTTCTCCCATGTTGTTGCCCTTGTGGTCACCACCGCACAGCACAACGAAGCTGTTCACTTGGGTCAATTGAAGGACAAGCGATTGTGCAGGAGGAAATCAAAAGATGATGAGGCCTCAATTGAAATTGCCGTGGAGCATCAATAGCTGACAATTGTGAATGTGATGACACGTCGACTTGACCTTGCATATGCAGGTGGACACAAGACGCAGTAGAGAAGGTCGAAGGGATGGAGCCGGCCAGGTGATTCTTTTATTGTATTTGCTTTGAAATGGCAGAACGCCACCCCTGCGCCTGTCATGTGTTGTCAGGAATTAGTCCGCATGAAGGTTTTCTCTGTCGTTTGCTCCTGTGTTGCCATCCCTGCCATCCGCCTGCCACCTCTGCGACAATAAATTTAAAACAGTCAAATAATCCTCGTTTATCCCAATCCCACTGCCCAGTGGTTTTTGGTAGGCAACTCATCCACTCATTCTGCTGGCTCATATTTGATGCAGGAATATAGTGGCCCCGATGAGGATCTTGTGGCCCTCTTGAAGCGGGATATTTTGGACACAAGTCCTGGAGTCACGTAAGCGCACCGGCACAAGGTTTCCATTGCTGCAGAATTGTTTCAATTTGACGTTTTCTCCTGAAAGAAGTAAATGGTAGGGTTTATGAAGAACCGGAGGAAGGTTTTGTAACATCGTTGGCATTCGAAGCCGATTTTGATTTTGGCGACTTCTGTGCGTTTTTTCTTCGGGTTTCTTTCCTTTTTTTGTTTCATCAGTTTGTGTCCCCGCAAGCCGTTGCGCCCGAGTGCAAGCCCTTACTTTTCCAAGCGTTGCACACCATCTATCATTGTAAGTCCGAACTTCTTTTTGATGGGCATTTATATGAAATACGATATGATGAGTACCCATCGCAGAGTCTTTGGCGCGCGTGCCTCTCGAGCACCACCTTGGCACAGCAGCAACGAAAAGAAATACTTTGAACTGTCGCCCAAATTGGTAGCAGGCCCATGTCGTGCTTTGTCCTGTGTTTTGGACCAGAATTGGGCAATGCGTCGAACGCCTTGTCAGCACCCTGGACTGCGTGTCAACCATTCTTAAGATGCATTTCATGCAAATTCAGCATACGAATTCGGAGCAACTGCACTTGTGATAACTGCGTTCCAGATGTGCTTTAGATGGCTCTTAAGCACAACTCGCCCTGTGCTCAGTGCTGTATTTGCCGCGTAGGTGGGGAGAAATCGCCGGTCTCCATGAAGCCAAGCGGGTGCTGGAAGAGGCGACAGTGCTGCCACTCATCATGCCCGACTTCTTCAGAGGGATCAGGCGTCCCGTCAGGGTAGGTTGAAGCTGTTCCAGCGCAGCAGATCAACATGGCGAGTAAGCCCTAGATCGGGGGCTATCTAGATGTCTAAGGAGTTGTCTAAAAGTCTAAGTTGCCTTCTAAAATGTTTGTCTAAAGCGGTCTGTCCGGACAATTTTTTGTGTGAGCAGCGGCTTTGATTCATGGTTTTCCTACGACAATGGCTTCAATTCAATTTGGGGATGAGATAGCAGAACATATACGATGGAATTTCAGGCTTGGAGAATCAGCCCAGTTTCCGTGTGTTGTCCCGGGTGTGCTCGCGTTGGCCGCCCTGGACATCGGCGTGACGCTGGCCATGAAGTCCACTGTCGCCAAGCCCTGACCCTGTTTCCGCATTTTGTCGACAACCTTTGCCTCAAAGTACAAGGTCCTGTAAGGAACTTTTATCTTGCACCTAATTCTATATCGAAATCGTAGTACCTATGTCTCTAATGTCTTAGTCTTGTATCTAACATTATTTATTTAATCCGATTCATTGCATCTGCTCAAATCCAAGAACTTGAAAATTCCAATGAAAAACGCATGAACCAAAGTCTCGTTACTGTTTAGGGCGTGCTGATGTTTGGGCCCCCGGGGACTGGAAAGACCCTCCTCGCCAAGGCCGTCGCCACGGAGGCCCACACCTCCTTCTTCCACGTTTCCTCCGCCACCCTGGCCTCCAAGTACCGCGGGGAGTCCGAGCGCATGGTGCGCTGCCTCTTCGATATGGCGCGCGCCTACGCTCCCAGCATCATCTTCATCGACGAGATCGACGCGCTGTG